ATGAGTGGGAATTGACTCCACAGCAATGCGTTAATAGGTGTTCTCCCTGCCTGTGTTACCAAGTCCAACCAGCGGGGGGAGTGCCACAGCTGGAGACATGCACCTCCTGGCTTGTTAAGAGAACAAAGGAGGTTCTGGATCTGAGCTGTAGACGACACTCTGGACTTGGTCAGGACAGGTAGCCTCAGCACTATGTTGTCACCTCCTGGTCTTGTGTAGAAGTGGCAGGTGGGATAGGGGATTGTGAACTTCAGCATCTCCCTGATACAGGGTTTAAAACAAGAGTTGAGGATTACCTAAGGGTGAAAGCAAAAAGTGGGCCAGAAAAGTACCAGCTGGAGGAAAATAAGCTAAGGCAAATAAGAAAGCAAATCAAAGGTTAATTTGCCTATGGTCTGAGGAAAATGTTTATTCAAACTTTCAAGAAAAGTTATGTTCAGATGATGAACCTTAGTCTCACAAGCCTCACTGTGGTTCTGAGGTTGAGTGGTCTGGTGGATGTCTCTGTTTTCACACATCCAGGATCCATCTCCCTGCTTGGTAACAGCACTTTGGCTCTCCGTGTGCAACCATCTGTCTCCCTTTCTCAGTCTATGATGTCCAGACGGGGTTTCCAGTCTCCCCCTACTTCTCCCATCCCTGCTTTTCCCATGGTGAGCACTAGCTCCAGGCCTAGCCAGTTAGTGTATCTCCTCCCGTTCGCTGTGGTGATTGGTATAAATTGGCCAATAAGAGTCAGTCTCACGGCTTGGGTGGAGCTCTGGGAAAGGGAAGTAAGGCTGCTTTCTACTGGAGTTCCCTTAACTGGAGACGAGTGCATTCAAGCTGCTGGTGACCATCTTCCCAAGCCTGAGCAGAGACTTCTTGAAAATAAAACCAACCCAGAGGAACAGAGCCCAGAGACAAATAGAAGTGATGACATCACTGAACATCTGGATACACCTGTGCCTGGGCTGTTCATTTACGAAGGTCAGAAATTCCTTGTTTAGATTAAACCAATTTAACGTGGGGTCTATTACTTGTTCCAGAGAGTTCTAAATAATACAGATGGAGCGAGTGAAAGAGGGCAAAGGAGGAATCCAAATTTCTTACCTTTTTGCTGTTTTCAGTGAGCCACTGGATTCTCTGCTGATAGAGTTTGATGGCTCTGTCAAAACATCAAATACACTAGTCACCTGAGGTCACCTTCATCACAGAGCAACAGCCACATATGTA